TATCTTATCTACAATTTGCATAAACTAATCTTAATCTAGAATTATAGATAAGCATAAACTACCTGAAGAATAGCAATTATCACAAATATTCAAGTAACATCCCATTTTGTTAGCTGAAAAAGAGATTAGTGGTGAGAAACAGAAACGAGTTGTGTTTTAAAGTAGTCAAGCGGAACGTTTGTCAAGTAGTAACCGCAGGTGAACGCGCCGGATCTTCGCCATCACAGGCTGCTAAATTTTGGGTTTGTCGTCGGAGACGGAGACAATTCGTGGAAGTTCTTACCACGGTACAATGCATACCGATTACGAGAATGGAGTGACGCGTGCAGCCAGTTCCACGTACTCCTGCGGCGCGCGACGCGGCGCGAGAGTGACAAAGCTCCGCGCCGCGTGCTGATGTATAATACGCAAACTTCGAATTTCCATTCCCATTCGTATTCAACGAGCGCGCGAGGTTCTCTCCCGTTGAAAAATATCCGCGTCCGCGGCCCGCCTGAACCCAGAAAACCTGTCGATGGCTCACGGTATCGGTTCCGTATCTCATTCGCTAGTCCATCGATCCGTGAAAAACACCCCGAGGTGAACGACACGCCGAACGGGTTATCGACGAACCCCTATCCGCGTTCTAGAGGCCAGCTTCTCCATTACTTTCGAATCGCTCCGAGTAGCGAAGGAACCCTATAGCATTTTATGAACGTGTCGGGATCATCGAAGATGTCGGACAAAGTTTGTTTAACGCCACGGGCGATGGGCAGAGTTATGTACGCGGTCAGGTTCCAAATTGCAAGCAGTTTCTCGAGTCTACGTACTGTAAACTACAGTTACGTTTGAGTTTACCTCACATTATAACTAGAGAACTCTGTTTATCACAGAAAAGAATATAAGTCGATTCAAGTAATCTACATTAATTTAAATGCTAAGAATTAATGACAATTATGATATAGTCAACAGTATACTAAAAATTGTTACTGCCAAGATTGCTTTGATAGAAAACTCTTAAGGCCAGAAACACACGAGCGTTATTCTGACATTGATACGTCTTTCTTTTTCTTTTTCTTTTCAATGTACTAAGAAAAAGACATATAGTACACATACTGTCCAGTTGACGTTCGCGTGCCCTCAGGGTATTTTCTCTGTCTATCAGGTTTTCTATAGAATGCCACTGTCTTCTGAGGATGTGAAAGAGAATGAAATTCTGAATCAATAGTTCCTCTTTTACTTGTTTCTCCAACCGCTATTAACAGAGGTAGTAACAACAAAAATGGACCAATGAAGTATACAACTGTCACAAAGTGGAAGAATAATGCATGCACAGCACAGAGTGACCATTGTGCGTGACATTCTATTGGTCCATTTTTTCGTTAATAACTTTGTTAATAGCGATTGGATGAACAAAGGGAACAGAAACTTTCGATTCAGAATTTTACCCTCCCTCACATCCTCAGAGGAAAATCGTGTATTCTGAGACGCTCTGTATACTCTGCCACACAGCACCTATAAATTTCGCACTGATCACAATTGTACAATAACACGATTCGATTATAATTTGGTGGAGGATCGCATTATTACGTGTCATTCTATTTGCAAGATTACTGTAAATAATATCTCGCGGCTATGAATAAATCATCTTCATACATAAATATCATACAATACTGTCATATGTAAAATAAATTAAGCTCAATGTTTTATAATCTCAGTTCGCATAGCTGCAATTGATAAAAACTATCATTAACGTGAAAGTTACTATATAATGAATATACTTAGTCTATTTAAGCTTTTCGAACTCGTTCCTATCGCGTTTTATGTAAGGAAACAGTCGGCTTCTTGTAAATAACGAAACAGGGGATAGGGTCCATGTGACTTCTTCGGCACCTAATTTGTGTATCCTCTTCTTCCACTCCCTTTTCGTACTATATTCTATCTTACCTTACACGATAGTATTTTTAAAAAGTGATGGGATTTATTTATTTTTATAATAAATAAATATCGAATGTTATGAGCAATTTTCGGAGTCTGATAAAACGTTCTGAGTAAAAACGAGAATGTTTGATCGAGTTCAGTTTGGGGATAGAATTGTTTGCACGATACAAATATTTGGTACATTCCTCTAAAATAATAATCATAGATATTCAAGTACTATCTTTTCTGTTATGGTTAATTCATTATTTAAAGAGAGGAAAAAGTATATAAAAGTAGTATTTCTAAATGAAATGAACAAAAACGTCGTATTCAAGAATAGAATGCAAGAGTTAAGATAATCTGATATGATTAGTAGAAATAAATATTTTGCAACAATTCTATTTAATTGCTCGAATGTAATTCCCACCACTAAACACGTGATCTTTTCACTCCTCGACGTGCGACTCAATTTGTTTCTCGCGTCTACACAGTGGACACACGATCGAACATCTTTAAATCGGTCGGTGTGAGAGCGAAAGATTCGCTCTTGACACCAACGATTGTACAAGGGATGATTATGTACAACAACAACGTGACCGATGTTGCTACCAGCAGTACCACGTCGCCGATTAATTGCACCACGGTAGTCTACGCCTTTCCGGGACAGGATCGCGTCGTTGTCGGATATATCAATGAGTGGATCAATGCCTATTCGTTCATATCGAGTAAGTACACCCCGCGTCCTCCTGTCTCTGATGTTGAAACGGTCGGTAAGCCGTCTCTTCTATCGATTCCTCGCGCCGGGTTACCTTTCAACCCCCTTTCTTGTCGATGATACAAGGGATGTTGCGTGGGTGGAAGTCGGTAAAGACAAATTTCATGTTACTGAACGTCGGAAGGAACTGTCAGGATGTTGCCGAGCGCTGAGAAGATATTAGCAATCGGGTTGTTGCTTATAATTGGTAGTTTATCTACCTGAATCAGTTCACAACCCCGTGTTTCCATTGTCGACAATGTCACATGTTCTTGATATTATGAAATCACATAGCTTAAGAAATACCCACTGAAAATATAAAATAAAATCTACAATAGATAATTTAAGGGTGAGGAACACTAAATATCATTTGAATGCCCATGTTCAGATATACATTTTTATTTATTGTAGTTTGGTTTTACTCTGTCATAAACCGATATGAAGGGTTTAAGAACAGTGTACTTGAGGTTTACAGTCAAATGGATTGTGCATTTGTGTTTGTTAATTGCATTTCTAGTAGTGGATAGATTTTCCAGCAGTCTTGTATGCAAGTTTTAGCCTACTGTCATTATTTGTCTCACGATTAATCCGTACTAAAATTCATTTCATTTCCTCCGTGCAGAGAATCAAGAGAAGTTCTACCTCTACATCATCGTGTCGATCACAGCCGGCATTTTAATCTTTCTGGGCTTGGTGATCGGACGTCTTCTAGTCAGTCGTCACCGAGCAAAAAGAGACGCAAAGTTTCACGCGAACAACGAGACGCTCCCGAACGGATTCACCGATGACATCTCGGAGATCGACGCAGATATTGATCTCACCACGCCAGTGCCGGTTCCCATGCAAGACGCCAGGTTCGTAGCTCGCTTAATGCCTTCAGACATTTCAACTTCATTGATCGAAATACTTACGTCATTCATTCATTGCAATATTATATGTTAGTATCATTTCAAACAGAATAGTTACACTAAATAAATGACGCATTAGATATATACAATAAGGCAGAGATTTGAACTTTGAAGGATTGAACATTTTTCAAATTTTACAATTTCTATTCTTTCGCTAAATTTGAATTTATATAGTAGACTAGTAAATCTCATCGTTAGAAAGATTACGGTGTCACATGAATCTTCCTTTCAGGATTCCCGAGACCCAATTAGCAGAGAGGTTACACGGCGATCGTTACTACGCAGAAACAAGGATACCCATGTCACCGACGACGATGCACCCGACGCCGGGACACTATCCTGGCAACACCGGCGTCAGGGTGGATCTTGGTAATCATATGGTCGGCGCCGACAACTTACACACGATTCTTCGCTCGGACAATCCCCGGAGCTTGAACACGAAAAGCTACTACTATGGCTGACAGGAGGAGGGGGGTGTCCCGCGCGAGGGACGACCCCCGTCCTTGAGCCCGGTACCGGAGGTGAGCACGCGGAAGTACTGCTTTTAAACAAGAGACCGATCTGTTTCTCAAAACACTGTCACGGGAAACGGAGAGCTTTTATCACAGGACGATATTCACTCGTCGTCGATCCGAATCGTTGTTTCTTCGAGCGGAAGTACAGGTGCCTTCGTCCCGGTACCGGAAACAAGCGCGAGGTGGTGAGATTTTTTTCATATCTGTATAAGAATTATAACTTTTAAACAGTCAGAATTTCCGGTAATTATTTAGAGGTTCGAGAACAAGACCAATTTCGCTAATTTTTTAGTATATTGTCAGGGATGTGACTCTAAACAATTATTTCCTATACATATATATAACGTATGGTCTGTTTTTATTTCTGAGATTTTTTTGAAAAACTGTCAGAACTGAGATTACCTTCTCTAGGTAATTCTGAAATTTTGCGCGACCGCAAGCCTAAAGAAATTAATCTATGTTACGAGCTCCTCACAGTATATGCCAGAATGCCGGTTGCCATGCTTGTAAATGTTTCAGTATAACGATGATTGTGTATGTCAACACACATTGTCACGGACTGAATACGTACGAGTAACTTCTTTTACCAATATATTAAATGCCAATATATTACGTCTGATAACGTATTAAAAAATTAGCGATATCCAAATTTCTAAATAATTACCGCATTTTCCTTGTACAAGCACGCGAGTTGCGCTACGATTTCATTGCGGCATTCAATGAAACTTAGAAAATTCATGGTCGTATGCTTTTGTACAAGAAACAAATAAAAAGTTGTTGTTCCGTGTAAATTGAAAATTGTGTGATGAATGTAAATTTAGTTCTGAGTGTCGCAAGCGACCGTGGGTATCGAAATTGTTCCACGCTACGTAGTTGGTGTTTGAAGTGAACGAGAGCTTGGCTAACAACAGGGACATGTAACGAGAACGGTGTAAATATGTACGTCGATACGCTGGGGATTCGAGCTTCTGTAGAAATTCCTGGGGAAACTCCGAATAAAAATCGATGCAAATTTTTCAGCCGTCGATCAGTGATATCGAGAATTATTTGTTACAAATACTTAATGAATTGTGATTGCATAAAGTTGGACTGTTGGTGGATAGAAAGTATAATCATGTTTATCGAAAATCGAAAGAGCAATTTTTGGAGTGACTGATAAATGCGACTATGGAAATGATAGAGCTTCCATAAATCTGAATGCAATTATCATAAAGGAAGGTTGGCAGAAAAAGAGGAAAGCAGAAAGCAACAAATCTACCAGGAAGATGTGTTCTTGGTAATGAGCCAAAAGTTAAACAATTGACAGTCATTTATTGTATTACAACTGAGTTCTAACACGATCGATTCCTCTACGTTAAGAAATCGTTGGAGGCGACGAAACGCGTTTGCATACACGGAACATAATTTTGTAAAACAGGTACTACTCCTATTACTAAACTGAAAGCGGAATGCAGATTACTATAACACTTTCTATCGTTAACAATTTTAAAAAGGAATTGTATTTAGTTATGCGATTCTGATAATTTAGTTATTAGTAGGTCAGGAAGTTTTAATGACAAAAACAAATTATCACTGCCTGTTTAACTGCCTGTTTAATAATGATAACACTAGAACTCAGCGATCAGTATCTTATGTGTACGTACAATAATTTGACATAAGAAATTAGTTTTCCAAAATCGAACATATTTTTTTCGTCAACAAAATACATACCTATACGTGTATATATTCATATTCGGGGTGCGGGTACTCAAAAATTCGGGTCATTTGGAGATTTTTTTCGGTTTCGGACGGAATCCTCTTACTTGTCAGAAAACGATTTGAAAGAAGCAATTTGAAGGAGAATAGCCGTGGCCAATGCCGAGTTGCGAGTAAAAGGCAGCGCGTAAATTAATCTTATATGGTCTAAGAAATAAACTACATCTCTTCCTTTTAACGGCCTTGTCTGCACTTCCGGCACATACGGAAACTGCCTCCAGTAGTACATGCTCTAAGATCATAAATAAACAGGAAATCGATCGATCTCAACGAAGTTACAATGGTTTTGTATCTCGAATATACGCAACCAAAAAAGAAAAAACAAGAAAAACACATAAAAAAAAAGTGAGAGGAAAATAATGAAACGCACGGTGCGACGACTTTTATAGAGAAATGATCTGTATGTATATCACGCTGTAAATAGAAAAAATGTAATTTACTGTAATTGTTAAGAAATTTAAACAAAATGGGAATGCATGCGCGCGAGGGGAGGATATGTATATCAAGAGTGTAATTTAATCGAAGGAGGTTTCGTGATAAATTAATTGATTCCACGTGCCATCCAGCCGATTTCATGATCAAGGATTTGGGATATCGATTATAATCGGTAGTAAGGATCTGGTTAAGATCTCTGA